GTATGTATTCTATTATGTTTTTATATATGGGGCATTTGTCTGTAGTGTATGTATTCTATTATGCTTTCATATGTGGCGCTTTTGTCTGTGGTGTATGTATTCTATTATGTTTTTATATGTGGGGCATCTGTCTGTGGTGTATGTATTCTATTAGGCTTTTATATGTGGCGCTTTTGTCTGTGGTGTATGTATTCTATTATGTTTTCATATGTGGAGCATTTGTTTGACGTGTATATATTTTATTATGCTTTCATATGTGGCGCATTTTGTCTGTGGTGTATGTATTCTATTATGTTTTCATATTTCAATGATGACCTACAGAAGGCTCCGTACAGAAGCCGAAACGTCGTCTCTTTTTCTTTCAACTGGAAGTTGCAGTCCATTAAAGTTTTCAAACCTACTATGTTTATCTGTCTAAAGTTCCACTGAAACGACGATCAGTCTAATTTTATTCACTCAAATGTTTAGTCACTTCGTCCAAAACTTGAGTAATTTTGTTAATGTACTTTTTTTGCAAGTTTCTCCGCTGTAGATACGTGGTTTACACATATATTATACAAACCAAATAATGTTACTAATATGTTTAATAGATACGTGGTTTACACATATATTATATAAACCAGATAATGTTACTAATCTGAATATTTATCGATTTGTTTGAAGTTTTCTTTATTTAATGAGCTCGTTTGGTGTAACAACGCATGAAACGGTTTCGTTATATTCTTGTTTTTTGTTTTGTTTTACAAATAATAAAACGATTTCAGTATGTATAATTTGTTCAAATTAAGATAAGATATACATAAAATAATGATTAAAGTTTTTTAATGTGTTACATTTTAATATCATGTCGCTTTAGTTATAATTAAAGACAGTTAGTGTTTGATACACTGAAGTTTTACATTGTACCAATAGTTTAGTAACATTATATAATATATGTATAAACCACATATCTATTAAACATATTAATAACATTATCTAGTTTGTATAATATACGTGTAAACCACTTATCTATTAAACTCATTAGTAACATTATCTAGCTTGTATAATATATATGTAAACCACGTATCTATTAAACAGATTAGTAACATCATCTGGCTTGTATAACATATGTGTAAATCACGTATCTATTAAACAGATTAGTAACATTATCTGGCTTGTATAATATATGTGTAAATCACGTATCTATTAAACAGATTAGTAACATTATCTGGCTTGTATAATATATGTGTAAGCCACGTACCTATAAAACAGATTAGTAACATTATCCGGTTTGTATAATATATGTGTAAATCACGTATTTATAAGAGAGATTAGTAATATTATCCGGTTTGTATAATATATGTGTAAATCACGTATTTATAAGAGAGATTAGTAACATTATCCGGCTTGTATAATAAATATGTAAACAACACATCTATAAAAATATAGCTAAGGTAGTTTGAAACATAGTACAATCTGAGCTAATGCTGGTGTGTCAGTTTTAATACTAACAGAAAAGCACCGTACATACACAAGCTAAACTAAAACAATAAATCTCTAAATACCCATTGTTTATGTTCCACACACCTTTTCAGTATTTATTTTCTTCTTCCCTGTGACTTGCTTAGTTGAAAAACGAAAGAAATCTGAAAAAGTTAAAAGCATGATTACTTTTATGCTTTTTTATAACAAAACAAATTATATATACAATTTAAGAATTATCATAAATTCATAACGAGAACTCTTTTATGGGGGGGGGGACAGGGGGTTAAAAACTACCATAAGAAATACGAGATGTCGAAAACAATTCAATAATATATTATCCTGTGACATTTGTTATCTCTGTCTCTCTCTCACTTAACTTGTTAAGTCGCCAGTAAAAGTATCTTAATGTTGTCTCTGCAGGGTCTTTGATAACATAAGTGAACCCATTTTTAGAAGCTTTTTATTTTCTACGTGGAATTTAAATTACTGTTATTTCGTGAACGTTTCTCAGTTACTTATAATGGTTTTCTGTCGTCTGTGATCGTTATATTTTGCCAAATGGTGAAGTAAATGATACGAATAATCAGAGATAAAAGATTTAGTGTTTTCCGAAAATATAGTAATTTTGTTAGATCTTAATTTTAAAGTTAATAATACAAGTCATAACACACAAGGTAGATTTAACCATAGTTTGTTGTCAAATGTTGTAGAAATGGCTAGGGGGGGGATGGGGGGAAGTTCAAGTATCTGCTAAATTACAAGTGTTCCAGGGGAGTTAGTCGTGACTCTAGGCTAATCTTGAATAAGCCTCAACGCGCGCCAGTCAAACAAGACCTTACATGATGGAGTTTATCTCGTGACATGACGCGACAAGATGGCGGATGATGTCCTTTCGTAACAAACGAAATTTCAAACAGCAATAAACAAAGATGTATTATACTTTACGATTTCAATTTATCGATCTAGAGAGTTTTACTTTTTACTGTAAATGAAAATGAGTTTGGCTTCCTACTCAACACAACTAAGGTAAGTTTAAAGACTTTGTTTGTCAACTAACATTATTGTTGGATGTGTCCATAACTCTGTCCCTCCATCTTTCCGTACAGAAAGAGTGTTGGCGTTTTGCCTTCTAAGTGAAATTATTTCTTCTAACTCTTGTTTTTTCTCTAATTTAAGACATGCTATGGGAAATACTAGTTATTTGAACAGCAATGAACCAAGATTTAATCTCAATTATATATATATATATGCATGAAGAAAATCTTTAAAACCGTATACAAAAATATTTAAATAAACACATATATTTATATCACAGAGAAAATTTCAGAAACGCCCTGTGTTAAATCGGTCCCTTTTTTGCATACTACTTCTAATCATTATGGCTGTTATATCGTTTATAAAATTTACATTAAACTACTTTTTTTTTTCTAAAGCTTCATCTCTTTTAGTTAAACATCATAACTTGCGGTTAATCAGATTCAAATAACAGTATCGGTTGTTTATACTTGTGATTTATATTACAACTTTTGATTAATACCGCTAAAGGATTTTTGCATCTGTTTCATGCATCTGTTGAAGTACATATATCCTTGCCTTACCTAGGACGTGAAAAATACACTTTACATACAAATATGCATACCTACTACCTGTTAGAATTTTCTTCTTCTAACTGCAGGCTTACTTTTCTTGTTATTTCCATCTTTTACAAAATCTAGGCACGTATATAATGAATTCTGGTTTTTAACCAAAGGCTTTAGCTGACCATCGTGAAACCATTATAAGTCCGCAATTCAACGTTAGCCTCGAGATCCACTATTAAAATGTGATCAATATTATTTTAGAATAGCACGATTGAATATGCATTAGATGCCTGCACAATCAGACGTGCTATTCTCAGTGTATGTTTTATTTATAGTTCTTCAAAATAATTGCATGTTGTCCTGTGTAGGTTTATCTCTAATGAATAAATTTGTTTAAATTTAATCTAAGGGCGTGCTCACTGGCGTTTCAATCGTCAGTTTTTCCTTTCACATGTGAATTATTCCACAGTAATTTAAAATATCAAGAATGTTATTCATCTTCTATCAAGTATACGACATAACGTTAATCTGAAATTCGAATATAAGAGTCGTAAATACGCGATCTGCTTGTTTTGAGACAATGTTTGAGCAAAAGCATAAACAGTTGAGACCTAAAGAATAGATTATGTCTCATAATAGCTGCATCTATACAAAAGAACAAGTCTTCTCGGAAAGCGAGTGATATACATGCAAAATAGTCAGAGGATCAGAAACATATACCAACTAGTTTACATTAACTCATTAAGGCTTTTAACGGTATTTTTTGCTGTTAATTTTTATAAAATCCCCGAAATAAAACAGATAGGAACGTGATTATGAATATAGTAAACATAATTTATATCGTAGGACAGGGATTGTACGGGGACTTTGATATCCGTGAAATGTAGGCCTGAAATACGCAATATCTTTTCATATTGAGAGCGTCTGTAAAAATGCATTTTTATTCAGTTACCATAAATGTGAAGTGGAATACCTTAGCAAATCTTTCAGACATTCATTTATCAAGGCAGAGAAGTTATCGTAAGCATACTATCGATATATATATATATAAATATATATATATTAAATTTAAATCACGGTAATTCTAACTGATGACTAAGTTTAAATTATGTGGCGAGTCCACATTCTTCTGAGCTCAAACATTCTAACGTTGCTGATTTTTAAATTTCTATTTAAGTAAAAGCTATGTCCTTCGGTGGCCCAACGATAAGTTTACGGACTTTCCGCATTGAAAATCCAGGATTCGATTCTTCACGATAGACAAAGTGCAGATAGCCAGTTGTGAAGCTTTGTACTGAGAAAACACTAGCAACAGTTAAAGCTATATGTATTCCAGCTATATTTTGTTTCGATAAACGTATTACTTTTGACTATATATTTACATATATAATTCCAGTTATTGAAAAATAGTATGCTTCTAATGTTATTTCATAAAGTAAATTTCTAACCAAGATTTAGCTTAAAAACCACAGACAACAGAAAACATCAGTGTTATTAAAAAAAAATCAGGCTTTTCGAATTCCAGTGCGTATAATTTCCATACCGTATGCATGAGTTGCTAGATTAAGATCTCGTTTTCTGCCTACAGTATTTCAAGTTGTGAGTTTATAGGAACGTCATGTGTGGAAAGAATCAGTGACATGCTGTTCCCTCAGATTAAACTGTAGATTTCTCCAAACCATTACCTTCTGACAACAATCAACATAATCAGATCAAGAATACATGCTATTTTTATAAAATGTTGAAAGCGGTGATGTTTTCCGAGCATAAAAGTTACGTGATGTGCATTTCATTCTGGAGGACACATGAATGATGTATAATACACATTCTGTAAAGATACATGTAATCGAACTCGGAAACAAAGACCTCGAGTGTAGAAAAAAAAAGAGATTTAAATTGACTGTTGAAAATACCGATAGTATTTTAGCTTGTCATAAGATTAGATTTATATAAGCATTACTTCTAAACTTATATATTAACGGGATTAGTTTATCCAGCAAGAATATTTATTTAATACAGCAATAACAAATTGTTTGTCGGTGTGTGTGTTACGATCTTACTGTATATAACTGATTTTTTTTTCACTTTTCATGTTTTAAAATCTAAAACAAATGTATTATACATACTTCACATGATCATGAAAGACACGTGACACGTTCATGATAGTAAAAATACACGTAGGGACAACAAAAAAGTGGTACACCACATTAAAAAAACACGGCAAAAACTTAGTGCTTTCGACGGATGGATCTGTCTTCTTAGGTCGGCCCCCCAGTGACACAGCAGTATGTCTGCGGACTTACAACGCTAGAAATCGGGTTTCGATACCCATAGTGGGCAGAGCCCAGAGAGCACATTGTGTAGCTTTATGCATAAATTCAAACAAACAATCTTAAGTCGTCGAGGGTTAAGGTTTCGTTACATTTATGGATATGATTTAACAAAATACGACAAATTGTATAAAGTGCATTGTTTTCTTACTCTTAGAAACTGTTACATTTTTAAACTGTAAACCTTGCATGTGTAAATGTTGTGAGAAATTCAAGGGGTTAATAAAAGATCTCGCATAATATAAGTCACAAATCACTCTCCAAGAAAGAGAATGTGACAAAGTTGTAAATTTGTAATTAACTAAAATGTATTACAGCCTAAGAGCCACATGCGTTCATCTCTATCTAAGTATTTTCATGTGTATACGCTTGAAATTTAAATAATGACTGAAACGTAGACCTAGTTGTAAAATGAAATCTCGCTTTAATAACCCTAAGAATTTGTACTGCTTGATGGGTAAGTGTTGTTGTACATCATCCATTTCTAGAGATAGTTATATATCGCCTTTGTATGCCCATCATCCATTTCTAGAGATAGTTATATATCGCCTTTGTATGCACATCATCTATTTCTAGAGATAGTTATATTTGGTCTTTGTATGCCCATCATCCATTTCTAGAGATAGTTATATATCGCCTTTGTATGCACATCATCTATTTCTAGAGATAGTTATATTTCGCCTTTGTATGCACATCATCCATTTCTAGAGATAGTTATAGTTGGCCTTCTAAACAATGTATAATATAAAATGTTCGTTTGAAAGTAAACCATATAAAAACAGGAACTAACTTTCTCTCTCTCTCTTTCTCTTTAACTACACTTGTGTTTGGTTATGCTATCCGTGGTTTTAAATGCTGTAATTCATAAAAGGAATGGAAGTTACTGTAAATTAAAACTGGACATGAATTATTAAGGACAGTTAGACTTTTCTGTAGACTTTGAAAAAAAAAAGACTTTCAGGGAAAGCTTCACTTCAGAATATGAAAATCTTTAAGCTACCCTAACTTTTATTTAATACGGTAAATATTGGTACTTTTATTTTGAAAGAGTTCACTATCTTTCTTCCAATTGACCAAAGGTACTTGTAATCCAAACAGTTCAACCCTTTGTCGATTTTGGACCTAGTTTACAGACAAAACTAGCGAAGGAGAATAAAATAAATAAATGTTTATTTGACAGAAGGTAAGAAAACCGAAGTGTTGAGAAACGCTTACTTTCATACGAAGAAAGTTTTGAATGTTGTAACAGCATCTACCATTCATAGGTTAAACAGTTGGCATAAAAAATGAAAACGTTTACAACAAACAGTGTTTCGAACGATAAAAAAATAGGCGCTGGTCAAAGTTTGAAGTTCGTTATTTTTAAAATATGAGTCCAAAGTATTTCCCCTGATTTATCATACTACTTGTTTGTCTCTTATTTATTTGATAAGTAATTCCTACTGTATCTATGGGGTTTGGGTCCGTTTTACTTCACCGTACAAGTGATTTAGGTATGTGAATAATACTATGACATTTCATCAAATTCATTATTCTTTATTATACAGCTGACCTCTGGTGAAAAAAAAAAGACATTTAATAATATATATATATATATACTTCTTACTATAGTTGTTTTACTTCTAAGTTTATTATTATTTATATATTGTACTTTTTCCACAGTTCTTTTACATTTACAGTAGCTTTGCTTTAAAATATGTAATTTATATTGCTAAATAAATACAAAAAAAATACACTACTGCATTTAGGCTTAGCATTTACGCTTTTCTTTCCTACATATACACTTACATGTGCAGTGCTTTCAATAATGTAAATAATGAATTACTGAAAACACTGTGATAAATTTAAACGTTTTAAGTGTCACCTTGTTTATTTTTTATTTGTAGTCATCTGTTTTTTTCGATAATGGACTTTCAGACTAACTTTAATAATAAAAATTTGGTTATGAAACAGCAAGTAAATTATGAAACTTACTAGTCGTTACAAATGTTTCAACAGGTACGTATTTTCCGTAAACACGTTATCACGAACATTTAGAAAAAACCTGATAATCGTTATACCAGTTGTTTATCATTGATAACTATCATTAACTTTA